GTCGGTTCGCCTTTAGCAAAAGTTCTTGCTAAGAGACTTTCAGCCATTATCAGGCTGATTGGGGCCTCACGGAATCCACCGTGAAGCCCAATCCAACATTCTTTTTCATTGAAAAGACAATAAGAGTAGTGGTTTCTCATTGGCGCCGAAGCTCCCACTTATCTGTACCTCTTATGTCTTTCTATCAAGTCAAGCTCAACAAGGTCATATTTCCTTGCCAATTCTACCAAGTTTATTAACTTGGCTGTTATTATTGTACTCACCAAGTACAATATTCATACATATAGTATATTTGCCAGTTTTTTTTTTTTTTGTTTCGGCCCGAAGGCCGGGAAGAGAATCGCGACCACAGTTCCCCCTTCAGGTACGGCGGTGAACCATACCATCCGGCTTCCTCCCTCTACCACTCCTACGGGTAGCAGATATGAGCCGTCGCCAACACGAACAGCACGTTCGCATCCATACGCTCACACGGTTCGACACCAAGTCCTCCTGTAAAACAGAAGTTCCAGGTAGTGGGGTATCCCCTAAACTCTCCCACATAACGTAACAACAGTCAACTCCTTCAGCTCCCTACTGCCACCTTCCACTCCTATTCACTCCGACGTCCTATCTCCTCGCCATCCTTTCTACTTGCCCACGCCTTCCCCCAAAACTCTCTTCCTCTACTCGCACAGCACCACATCCCCCTCACCACATCCCCCTCACCACATCCACTTCACCACATCCACTTCACCACATCCACTTCACCACATCCCTCTCACCGCATCCCTCTCACCACAGGCTCCTACGCTTACATCTGCCTCTTTTCCTAATAACATTCCTCCCTTCCATCATTCCCACCCACAACCGCCCTCTCCTCTTCGTCGTTTCCACTCTCGGTTGCTGCCATCTGGGCGTCTCGTCGTCTGGTCTTCCGGTCTTCCGGTCTTCCAGTCTTCTGTTCATCCGGCCACAACGCTACTCCTACTTGTCATGAATTAGTTATTACCATGACAGTACTTGTTCGCTATTGGTCTCTTACCAAGCTTTAGTCTTTCTGTTCATACTAGCCGTTATTAGGGGAATCCTTGCTAGTGTCTTTTCTTCCGCTTAACGTTTCGGTCCAGTGGGTATTTCGACCTTATTTCAGGTCGTTTTTTTTTGCTTCTTTTTTTTTGTTTTTCTTTTTTTTTGTTTTTTTTTAATTATGGCTTTTAAGCCAAGGTTCATTATTTCGTGTGAACCGTTTTTAGGTGCGCATATAAAGCTAGCACCGGCGTTTATGGGCGTTGGTGATTTTCATAACGCTTTCTGTTATCAGCAACAATATTATCCTAGCAATGTTTGCTTAAGATGAGTATTTCAGTATTTATATACTGATTCTGTTTGATCCATAACCAAACATACCTGAACGAGCGAGTTGCTTTACGGGTATGCGGCTATGTTCACTTTTAGCTTTGCCAGTCAATTCAGTTCTTCAGTAAGATTTTGGGAGTCTATTGAGACTAGCTTGGCCTTTTAACGATAGGCTATTTTTTAAATCCCAAGGTGCAAGACATATCACAGTTTTTTGTTAGACTACCAGAACAACGTAAACGTTAAACTGTAGATAACATTAGCAATGGCTCTTCCGTAAGATTACGTACAGAAACCTTGCTACATACCTCAATTCCCAGTACGAAATAGCTTTAAAAGAGTACCCAAGCTTATTAGCCATGGTTATATACTCATTAACTATGTCAGTGTAGCGCATGTGCGGCCCAGAACATCTAAGGGCATGATAGACCTGTTATTGCCCAACATCACCCTGCTTAGCGCAGGTAGTATATTTAGGAAGACAGAAAAGCCGAAGCTTGACCCAACTGAAAAGGTGATTTTTCAATCCTTTTATGTGTGTACCAGCTGAGTTCCCCCGTGTTGAATCAAATTAAGCCGTAGGCTCCGCTCCTGCTGGTGCCCTTCCGTCAGTTCTTTTAGATTTCATCCTTCATTTTCGGGACCAGACCCTGATTCCCTGCTACCCATGGTAGACAACGCAAGCCTCTATCTTACAGTCTTAATCTGATAGGGCAGAAAATATAATAAACCATCGCCAGCACAAGGCCATACGATCACCATTGAATTATTATAAATCACGAAAAAAATGGCCTTCACATCAAGCTGGCTTTTACCCAATAAGGGTACCCCTTCCAAAATCGAGGTTTTCGTTGCATGTATTAGCTCCGAAATTACCACGGTTATACAAGTAGTAATTACTTATAATGTTCATCATAACTGATTTAATGAACCTTTATTTCCCTGATCCAAATCCAATAAATTGAATCTGTAGATTATTAGCAGTACAAAGACTACCGCCCAGCAGATCGTCCCGAAAATTTACCGAAGCAAAAGTATACGGTTTGAAATATGCGCCGGGAGACCAGTAGATGTTTTTATTAAAGAATAAAATCTCTGCTGATCCGAGCAAAAGAGGCGCCAGGTAAACTCGGGAAAGATATACCCCACGCATAGTACTCTCTGAGAAAAGATTTTTGAAAAAAACTCCAAAATTAATTGTTGTTAAGATTTCAATCATCTTCTCTCATACATATCATAGGGGGGTCATTAGTAGTCTCGCCAAAGGTTAAAAACGTTTATTTACACTTTTCAACTTTTTTTTTCTGGGATTGAATAATTAAGAGTGAAATTAAAATATAAATTCAATTTGTTCCAAATAAGGAAACGAATTGGTCCAAAGGGTTCGCCCTCAGACCGGTTAATACAAGTTTAGATTAAATCTTAACCGGTTGTTACCAGTTGGCTTAAATTTTCACCTGAATCTATCCATTTGGCTCTAATGCTCACCGGAATCTATCCATTTAGCTTACATGTTAACCGGAATCACTTTGTTTAGCTAAAATGTTAACCGGTTGATACCTGATTAGCTTGAATGTTTACCGGAACGTATCTATCTAGCTAAAATGTTAACCAGTTACTACCAGATTAGCTTATATGTTTACCAGAATTTATCCATTTAGCTTACATGTTAACCGGAATCGCTTTGTTTAGCTAAAATGTTAACCGGTTAATACCTGATTAGCTTGAATGTTTACCGGAACGTATCTATCTAGCTAAAATGTTGACCAGTTACTACCAGATTAGCTTACATGTTTACTGAAATTTATCCATTTAGCTTACATGTTAACCGGAACCAATTTGTTTAGCTAAAATGTTAACCGGTTGATACCTGATTAGCTTGAATGTTTACCGGAACGTATCTATTTAGCTAAAATGTTAACCAGTTACTACCATATTAGCTTATATGTTTACCAGAACCTATCCATTTAGCTTACATGTTAACCGGTTGATACCTGATTAGCTTAAATGTTTACCGGAACGTATCTATCTAGCTAAAATGTATACCGGTTACTACCAGATTAGCTTATATGTTTACCAGAATTTATCCATTTAGCTTACATGTTAACCGGAATTACTTTGTTTAGTTAAAATGTTAACCGGTTGATACCTGATTAGCTTGAATGTTTACCGGAATGTATCTATCTAGCTAAAATGTTAACCAGTTACTACCAGATTAGCTTACATGTTTACTGAAATTTATCCATTTAGCTTACATGTTAACCAGAATTACTTTGTTTAGCTAAAATGTTAACCGGTTGGTACCTGATTAGCTTAAATGTTTACCAGAATGTATCTATCTAGCTAAAATGTATACCGGTTACTACCAGATTAGCTTACGTGCTTACCGGAATCCATCCATCTAGATAAAACGTTAACCGGAATCAAATTATTTAGCTATAATAGAAACTGGTTACTACCAGATTAGCTTATATTTTAACCGGAATATATTTATATACCTAACATGTTATCCGGTCGTTACCCAATTAGCTTAAATGTTGACCAGAGCTCATTTATTTAACTTAAATGTTAACCTGTTACTACCAAATTAACTTAAATATTAACCGGAATATATTTACCTAGCTAACATGTTAGCCAGGTGTTACCTGGTTTGCTTAAATGTTGACCAGAACTCATTTATTTAGCTTAAATGTTAACAGGAAGCAATTTGTTTAGCTTAAATTTTGACCAGAATCCATTTGTTTAGCTTAAATGTTAACGTGGTACTACTATATCAGCTTAATTATTAACCGGAATCAATTTATCTAGCTAATATGTTTACCGGTTGTTACCAGTTTAGCTTAGATATTGACCAGAATCAATTTATCTAGCTAATATGCTTACCGGTTGTTACCAGTTTAGCTTAGATATTGACCAGAATCAATTTATCTAGCTAACATGCTTACCGGTTGTTATCATTTTAGCTTAGATATTGACCGGAATCACTTTATTTAGCTAAAATGTTAACAGGTTGTTACCAGTTTAGCTTAGATATTGACCAGAATCAATTTATCTAGCTAATATGCTTACCGGTTGTTATCATTTTAGCTTAGATATTGACCGGAATCACTTTATTTAGCTAAAATGTTAACAGGTTGTTACCAGTTTAGCTTAGATATTGACCAGAATCAATTTATCTAGCTAATATGTTAACCGGTTGTAACCAGTTTAGCTTAAATGTTGACCAGAATCATTTTATCTAGCTAAAACGTTAACCTGTTAATACCTGATTAGCTTAAATGTTTACCAGAATGTATCTATTTAGCTAAAATGTTAACCGGTTACTACCAGATTAGCTTACATGCTTACCGGAATCCATCCATCTAGATATAATGTTAACCGGAAGCAACTTGTTTAGCTTAAATGTTGACGTAGTACTACCCTATTAGCTTATATATTAACCGGAATCAATTTTTCTAGCTAATATGGTAACAACCGGTTAACATATTAGCTTAAATGCTTACCAGAATTAATTTGCTTAGCTAAAATGTTGACCAGAATCCCCTCATCCTGATAAAATGTCAACCATAATCAATTTGTTTACCTAACATGTTAGCAGGCTGTTACCAGGTTAGCCTAAATGTTGACCGGAATGTATCTATCTAGCTAAAATGTTAACCTGAATCCATTCGTCTAGCTAAAATGGTAACCGGTTACTACCAGATTAGCTAAAATGTTAACCGGGATCAATTTGTTCAGCTTAAATGTTTAATTGGATCCATCTATTCAGCTAAAATATTAGCCGGTTGTTACCAGGTTAGCTTAGATCTTTGCTTGAATCTTTATGTTTAGCTAAAATGTTAACCTGTTGGTGCCAGATTAGCGTAAATGCTAACCGGTTTTTACAAGTTGGCATAAATGTTAACCAGAATTATTATTATTATTTTATCTGAAATACTAACCGGAATCAATTTGTTTGACTTAAATGCTAGCCGGTTTATACATGCTATACTTAAGTGTTAACCGGTCGCTACTATGTTATCTTAAATGTTATCCGGAATCAATTTGTTTGGCTTAAATATTAACAGGTTAATACTTGTTTAGCTTAAAGTCTAACTGGTTGATACATATATGATTTAAATATTTACTAGTTCTTGGCAGTTTAGTGTAATTGTTATGCGGTTGTCACCATGTTAACTTAAATATTAGCTGGAATCGATCCGTTTGGATCAAATGTTAAGCATAAATGATCCATCTGGCTCAGATGTATATCACAATTGACTTGTTATACCAGAACGTTGTATTATTATATGCTTTTATACAACCGGATTTTCAATTAGGCAACCGATCTACAGCAATACAGGTAGTAACACACAGAATCGTATTTAATCCCCCACAGTTAAGTCTCTCCTGGTAGCGTTGATGTGATCTATCTGTATGGTTCTTCCAATGCTTTGGCAAAGCCAAAATTGATCAAATCCGCTGGGAATTTTAAGCGAGAATACAAGAATAGAAGTACGACAGAAAGACAAGTAACTTTTATTGAATAATCGTCTTTAAACCTACGTAACAATTGAAAATATCTGTTTTGGTTTATATTCTACTTTTTTGTTTAAGCTCGATGTTTTCTAATTATCTTGTGAGCAAAAGTGAATCACGTCGGCCGTCGTTCTCAAAAGAGAATTTTGTGTAATTGTTGCCCTGGTCGGCTAACACGAATTCAGGCACGATAATAATTTAAAACGATCAAGGTAATTTAAACTGTTAATGTATACTTAATGATTTCTGAAATGTAACTGTTGCAGATACTTTTAGATGTTGAAGATGGCGAATATTCTTATAGAGATATTACTGTATATTCATAATCTAAGAAATATTATTGTAGCTTTTTCTTTTTTAACTAGAAAGCGACAATCGCTTTGTATAAATAAGCAAGAAATATATTTAATAAAAAATATCTTTATTTTTATCTAAACACTATTCATAAACTTGAATATACACAGTAGTATTGATTTGGCAACTTAGTTACAAGTGCCAGAAAAGAGATACTAGATCGAGATTTTACAAATGGTAGCTGAATAAGCGATTTCTCTTACCAGAAAAGCGCCCAGTTTACCAACGCTCAAAAGAAAAATCTTGAAATTTAAGAACGAGTTCATGCCTTGCTTCCCGTACTGTACCCCATATTTCTGAAGAACAGTGCATCCATTCTACTCCTGCTCATGTCGCTTTTTGGGATACTCGAGCCAGCAACATCGTTTTCAAACTTCCTGGTGTACATGTTTCTACACTCCCTGCTCCAGACTATCCAGTTCACGTACCTACTCCAAACTCTTTACCTATGAGTGATACACCTGTTCCTGTTGACCATGCTGACCCTGGTGCTCTTGGTGCCGTGAATATAACCGCGTTAATTGTCACCTTCACTACTGCTCTTCATAGCTCGCAGCTACCTTCTCCTGCTGGCGCCCCAGCCCCTGCGCACGCCAATATTTCTCTATCTCTATCTGTCCACATAGAGCGCCCAATTTTTATCGTGGTACTCGTTCTTTCAACGATATTTATGACTGGGTCCGTTATGTAGAACGTTTTGCTCACCTAAATCGCATAGAATATGACAGTTAGACATCCTATTGTATCACTCTTCTCCGTAATCGTGCGGATGTCTAGTGGCTCCGTATGGAAGACACTGCTAACAGGACTTCGAATTGGCGCACGTTTACACACTTGCTTAATGATAATTTCTATCCCATCCATGTTACCCAAGATGTCCGTAATAGAAATCGTTCTTTGTGCTAGACAAGCTCTGTCAAAAAATATATAGACGCCTTCTAGAATATCCACATGGTAGTCCTGTCCATGACCGAGTATGAAGCGTTTTACTGATTTACTGGTGGTTTACGTTCTGAAACCCGTGGTCAAGTTCATATTCGTGAGCCTTTGGACGTTGCTGAGACCTCCTCTCGCACTACCCTTGCATACGAGATTGATAAATTGTCTTGCTCGCCTGGCACGCCCTGAGTTTATTTCACAATATGCCCGTAATGATGGTCCTACTACCATGGACCTTGATGCTATGGAAGAAAGATTATCCATGCGGACCAATTATCGTGGACGCTCAGGCCAACGTAACAGCCGAAGTCCCACCGGCCGCCCCAATATGAAATCATGGCAACAAGGTGACCAGGATAGCCGCAAGTGTTTTCGGTATGGTCAATCTGGACACCTCTGTCATTTCTGCCCAGACAGTATTCCTAGTACCCGCCAATTGAACGAAGGATGTGCCAAGACCCAAGGATGCAATGACCTATCATTCCACATAACTGGATTAAAAGGTAATCGATTGTGTGAAGACCTAGACCCCCGCTCTAACAAGGATGTAAATGATTATAATAGTGTAAGCTATAAAGAAAATGATAAAGATTTGCCTTACCAGTATTTTAATAATTATTCTGCTTGCAATGAAGACTTACTGCTACCATAAACACATACTTGTCACTGTATGATGTCATATATGAAGGAAAGCGTATCTCCATATTAATCGACAGTGGTGCAAGCGCAAACTATGTGACACCAACGATCATTAAGCAAGCAAGCCATGGGGTTCAAGGCTGCAAACAGTTTTCTGTTATACGTCAAAGAAGACATGGTTAGCAACATGAACAACTCAGATTGGAGTGACCTGGTTAAATATTTTTCCTGGAGTATTTAGAGATGAGCCTCCATGTATTCCGCCCGAGTGTAATGTACCGCATGCAATCAATACCGGGGATGCAAGACCGATCAGCTGAACCTCATTCAAGAAGAGTCCCCTAGGTCTAGACGAGCTCAAGCGTCAGATCAAATAACTTATTGACCCTGGGTTAAGTAGGCTTAGTGCGTCACCATGGGGAGCGTCGGTGTTGTTTGTATAGAAGACAGTGTTATGGGGACATGCATCGAGTATCACGCGTTGAATAAAGTAGATGTCCGTAACAGCCACCCACTACCAAGAATCTATGGATGTCTGAAACAACTCCGCGGGTCTGCACACTTTACCAGTCTTGACATTAAAAGCGGTTATCACCAAGTAAAAATACAAACAAAAGATGTTACCAAGACAGCATTTAACACCAGATACAACAGTCAGTAAGAGTTTCTTGTCCTGTTTTTTGGTTCGACCAATCCACTGCCAACATTCCAAAGCCTTATGAGCCATATTCTGAGTGACTGCCGTGATGATTTTACTCTCGTTTATCTCGATGACATATTGATTTTCAGCAATACTGAAGAAGGCCACCGCCTTCACATCCGTCATGTTTTGGGAAGGTTGCGGGAGGAGAACATTGGTGGTCAATCTGAAAAAAAAATCGTTGGATTTCATATCTCAGCACGAAGTATTCTACCTACATCTAGGAAGGTTACTGCTTTCAAGGCACGGCCGGTTCCAACAAATTGTCAAGAGGCTTACCAGCTTTGTGGTCTCGCTCGACAATATCGACGGTTCATCCCTGGATAAGCAACCATAATAACACCGCTAACAGATCTCACTCATGATACTGGTTCAGAACGGAGACCGATTTTATGAACAAAGGAGCGCCAAGACAGCCTCGAGTTCATAAAGGACAAGCTAACCGTGCCCCCAGTACTACAAGCCCCAGATGTCCATCAGCCATATCGTATTGATACAGACGCTTCCAATTTCGGTGTTGGTTCAGTGTTACTCCAAAAAGGTAAATATGGTTTGTAATATCCCCTTGCATATGAATGGAAGAAGTTTACCATCGCAAAACGAGCTTACCCTGCGCAGGAACGAGAGCTATTAGGTATTGTGCGCGTCTTCCGAACCTGAAGTTGCCTTGTTGGTGGTCGACCATATACATTGTTTTCAGATCACCTTCCCCTCAAGTATTTCTGTCCTCAGGTCACACCAACTCCACGCTTTGTCCGATGGATTGCCAAATTTAAGCTGTATGCACCAAAGATACAGTACAAGTCTGGCAAGGATAGTGATGTTTCGGATGCGGTGTCCCGTGTGAGTGATAATGAGAGCAAAATTATTGTAGGTCCTATTGAACTGCACTATATATATGCTACCCCACTCGCCCATACTACCGATTGACCAAACTACTATGCATTTCATCCTGATAAAGTACCTGATAATTCCACAGAAATCGCAGAAAAGAACAGAGCTCACTTTGCTGTTAAGAATCACAAGATTTATCAAAAAGTGAAGTTAAATGACGATGACATTCGTGAAGTAATATTCTTTTTCTTTTCTTGTCGTACCAACACTGTCCAATTGTACCACAAGGACTTTGGTCATTCTGAACATTCTCTTATGTTTGATATACTAAGACCTCGTCATTGATAGCCGACTCTCTGTAACGACATCTAGGAATTTTTAAGCGCATATCATAAATGTTAGCGCAATACAAGAAAATATGGTAAGCATCATGACAAGATTTGCCCATTGAAAATTCAAGGAGCAGTTCAAAGGTGGCACTTGGACTTCATCGGCAGGTTATATAGGACTCTTAGATGAAATCAGTGGATCCTTGTAGCAGTTGATTATACTACCAGCTGGACGATTGCCTGTGTTGTCCCAGTCGCATCAGCCCAAATTGTAGCAGCTTTTATATACGAGGAAATAGTAATGCGTTTAGGGTGCCCACTCGAGATACTGAGAGATCGTGGAGCCAATTTTACCAGCAAACGTGCGGCCGCTTATCTCATTCGTACCAAGTCAAATCATCGACCAACCTTTGCATTCACCCACGCACAAATGGTAAATGTAAGTGCCTAAACGGTACGTTGAGACAAATGCTGTCTAAGTATACAAATCGTGTTCTGCACCGTTCGGGTAAGTTTCTTTTTGCCACACTTTGAACCTGGCACATCTGCACTCATCTCAAAATCAGGTATAGTCTGTTCTTTCTTACCTATGGACGCCATTATGTCCTTCCTGAAGACCCTCGTGCAGTGGCGGACCAGACCGTTGACCAACTGGAGAATGTCGGTAGGGCCAGAAAAGCCACCGAGTTACGTATGAGTGACATTAGTTCAAAAGACAAGGAAAAAGTGGATGCCGTGATTGAGAAAGTGAAATTCGACATTGGTGATCGTGTTAATCTCACACACGAAGGACATTTTGGTTTGGAAGCACGATTGAAAGGCCCGTTTATTGTGATGAGCAAAAAAAGACAAGTATGTTACGTATCAGCTCAAAAGCATGGAAGGCAAACCACTTGCATCCTGGGTTCACGTTGACCGCCTATACAATACAAATGGTAATGCTCCAAAAGACGCCTAGTACAACTCGACTGCCTCTCGTTTAGTATGGCGCGTTGTTATGCGACTCTTGGACTCGGAAATTCCCAATGACGTTGGTGCTTGTGGACGATCACAAAACCAGAAAGGGGGTAATTTCAGAATTGGCATCGGTGACCAAAATTGGAATTTACAAGCAACCAGTGTTTGGTTGTGGAGTCTGTTCTTCACTCAATTGTGGTGTATATACCACAGTTACAGCAGATAAAAGTCTATAGCAATAAACAGCAAGGCTTCCACGAATTATGCTCGCTAGAAGCTGATAACATTGTGGTTATTAAATACTTATTATTTTATTTTATTTTTTAAAAAAAAAAAGCGAAGAAAACTATTCGTGAAGAAAAGACAACTTTAGGCAGTATTAGAGAATCTTCAGCAGTGAGTTACCTTTTAATTTATCTAAAGCCAAACACTGCGACTTTAGCTAAAGAAAATTTCACTTCGTCCAGCAGTTCATTTTATCCTTTTCTTTAAATATATTTTGAGAGCGTTTTGAGCTGTGGTATACACACCACAATTGAGTGAAGAACAGACTCTACAACCAAACACTGGTTCCTTCTTGCTAATGAACCTGGCAAGTTAACAACCTCTGGAACTATTATATAACAGACACACACATACAGTGTGAGCCAACCATTACACAACAAGGGTTTGGATTATAGGGATTTTAATAGTAACAGATATAAACAATATTATATTGTCTCTTTAATAGATAACACTCTCCGCAGTATCCAATTTTCTCTATATTGAGATACTAATCCATAAAAAATTCTGAATATCTCAAACAAATCTTGTAAAAATTAAATTTTCCCAGAAAACCATATTCTTTAATATACCTGCTTATAATAAAACCTTTGAAATTTGTATTCAATTGATCAATACATACAAACTCATCGTGTATTATACTACAATACACATTATGGAAAAGTTTCATTTATTTACCTCATTGCCTTTGTCCACAACTTCATCGCATGCTGTTTTTGTGTCTTTATAAGCTCCATATGTTTAATTTTTCTACTGTCAAACACAGAAAATCTTTGTTTCCAATAGGCCTTTGCATCATTTTTTTCTCAAATTTTAGTTTTATTATATAAATATATATATATATATACCCTCTCATATTTATTTCTCTTTCTATTTATTGGTTTACTAAATATTTATGGGCATAATTAATAAATAAATACAAAAAAAAAGGTTGGTGGTGACTACATTATATATATATGTTAAAATTCTTTGGGCATTGTTTTTTTGTTTAGTTGTGGTTAAATTGCGTATATTTATATATAAAATTCCTAAAAGAAGAGTGGTTTTTGTTTGGCTGTAAACAATGTTATTGCTGGATCTTCAAATGCAAATTGAAATCAAGGTATCGAGTTAGCAGACAAAGGCTGACTAAAAATTAATAGACCAAGTTTGTTAGTTTGTTAGTTTGTCTATTACCTATAACAGCTTTGAAGACCAAAATATTAAGTTAATCAAATGTATTATTCTAGACAATTGATGAACAAACGAACTTGGATTTCAGATCCGGTTTCAAATTAAGTACATTTCAAATAGCGGAGAGAGGATACTATTTAATTTATTGGCCTAAAAAAAAGTCTAATGTGATCAATACATATATATGTCTATAACTAAGTTAATAAAATATCTAACCTTACTTTCTGACTTTGCAATATCACAATGTTTTATTGGGTCGGCTGTCAGATGCCTGGTGATAATATTTATTTAAGTAAACTATTTCAATAGAAAAATAATTTATTTTAATTATGAAGGTGTTCAAAAGAACAAATTCAAGGACAAGGGCTTAATCTCAGTATATCGTAGCAACAAAGGTCACTCGACTACTTACAATACCCCGTCAGTTGCATGCAAACTGCATGCAATTCATCACTACTCCATACTAGCATTACTATGTAGCTCTGAATGTACTCGCCTTTCAGCGAATACGAGCAAAGACACAATATGCTTTTCAGCTCAAAAGCATATTTATACTCATATAGTGTATGAGCAACACATATAGTATGGTTTCCAGCATCAGCTCTGGCTTATGGTTGTTTAGCCATTTCCCAACCAATGGGGGCTTCACAGCATTTACTGTAAAGCCTAATCCCATACTATGGTTAAAGAACAATAAGAGCAGTGGTTTCTCATTGGCGCCGAAGCTCCCACTTATCTGTATCCCTTATGTCTTTTTACCAAGTCAAGCTCAACAAGGTCTTATTTCCTTGCCAATTCTACCAAGTTTACTAGCTTGGCTATTATTATTGTACTCACCAAGTACAATTATTCCACACATAGTATATTTGCTAGTTTTTTTCTTTTTTTCGGCACAAAGGCCAGGAAGAAAATCGTGACCACAGTTCCCCCTTCAGGTACGGTGGTGAGCCGTACCGTCCGGATTCCTCTCTCTACCACTCCTACTGGTAGCAGATTTGAGCCGTCGCCAACACGGACAAAGTGTCCGTGTCCATACGGTCAAACGGTTCGACACCAAGTCGCTCTACTAAAGAGAGGTACCAGGTAGTGGGGTATCCCCTAAAAACTCCCTTGATCCACCGGGATGAGACTGAAGCCGTTGGTCATACCACTCGGGCCGGCTTCGGATGTATTATACTAGGACATATAGTCCTTGATGGCTCCTACTTCCTGTAGACACCCTACAGGTGTCCTCATAGCCATACCGCAGACCCCATAAACGCGCCCTAGATACACAGTTTGGAGCATGCGGTGGTTAGGGTAATAACCACGACCGGACTCGAAAGCCCTGGAAGAGCTATACCCATAACCTTGTCTCTCCACCCAAGAGACAGTATAATACATTCGGGGGCGGTGGCAACAGCCTCGTCCTCGTGTGGATCCGGTTCAGCATAGAATCTGGCCTAAAGACGTTCAGCCATCATCCTGCGGATCGAAGCTTCACGGAATCCACCGTGAAGCCCAATCTAACATGCCTTTTCACTGAAAAGACAATAAGAGCATTGGCTTCTCATTGGCGCCGAAGCTCCCACTTATCTGTACCTCTTATATATTTTTACCAAGTCAAGCTCAATAAGGTCCTATTTCCTTGCCGATTCTACCAAGTTTATTAACTTGGCTATTATTATTGTACTCACCAAGTACAATAATCATACATGTAGTATATTTGCTAATTTTTTTTTGTTATTTAGGCCCGAAGGCCAGGAAGAGAATCGTAACCACAGTTCCCCATTTAGGTACAGTGGTGAGCCGTACCATCCAGATTCCTCTCTCTACCACTCCTATGGGTAGCAGATTTGAGTCGTCGCCGACACGGACAGAATGTCCGTGCCCATACGCTCAAACGGTCCGACACCAAGCCCCTCTGTCTAGTAGATGTTCCAGGTAGTGGGGTATCCCCTAAACTCTCCCTTGTACCCGTCGGAAGGAGTCTAAAGCCACTGCTCATGCCACTAGGCGCCAGCTTCGGATGCATTATACTAGGACTTGTAGTCCTTTATGGCTCCTACTTCCTGTAGGCTTTCTACAGGTGTCATCATAGCCATACCGTAGACCCCACCAACGCGCCCTAGATGCAACGTTTGGAGTATACGGTAGTTAGGGTAATAGCTACAACCGGACTCGAAAGCCCTGGAAAAGCTATACCCGTAACCTTGTCTCTCCACCCAAGAGACAGTATATTACATCCGGTGGCGGTGGCAACAGCCTCACTCCCAGTCGGTTCGCCTTTAGCAAAAGTTCTTGCTAAGAGACTTTCAGCCATTATCAGGCTGATTGGGGCCTCACGGAATCCACCGTGAAGCCCAATCCAACATTCTTTTTCATTGAAAAGACAATAAGAGTAGTGGTTTCTCATTGGCGCCGAAGCTCCCACTTATCTGTACCTCTTATGTCTTTCTATCAAGTCAAGCTCAACAAGGTCATATTTCCTTGCCAATTCTACCAAGTTTATTAACTTGGCTGTTATTATTGTACTCACCAAGTACAATATTCATACATATAGTATATTTGCCAGTTTTTTTTTTTTGTTTCGGCCCGAAGGCCGGGAAGAGAATCGCGACCACAGTTCCCCCTTCAGGTACGGCGGTGAACCATACCATCCGGCTTCCTCCCTCTACCACTCCTACGGGTAGCAGATATGAGCCGTCGCCAACACGAACAGCACGTTCGCATCCATACGCTCACACGGTTCGACACCAAGTCCTCCTGTAAAACAGAAGTTCCAGGTAGTGGGGTATCCCCTAAACTCTCCCACATAACGTAACAACAGTCAACTCCTTCAGCTCCCTACTGCCACCTTCCACTCCTATTCACTCCGACGTCCTATCTCCTCGCCATCCTTTCTACTTGCCCACGCCTTCCCCCAAAACTCTCTTCCTCTACTCGCACAGCACCACATCCCCCTCACCACATCCCCCTCACCACATCCACTTCACCACATCCACTTCACCACATCCACTTCACCACATCCCTCTCACCGCATCCCTCTCACCACAGGCTCCTACGCTTACATCTGCCTCTTTTCCTAATAACATTCCTCCCTTCCATCATTCCCANCCACAACCGGCCTCTCCTCTTCGTCGTTTCCACTCTCGG